TATTCAGAGCGGAAGTGAGGAAAACAACAAGCTGAAAAGAAGCATTGGAAGGAGGGTAAACATCACCTGCGTCATGGGAAGTATAGTTTACTCTGTGGGTAAAAGACCATGTGGGGATTTTGGGTAATAACGAAACTGACAAAATAGCAAAGGAAGAGACAGAAATGGATGGAGAAGTGGAGGCTCATGTATAGCATCATTACTATCCTAACCAAATTAAATATAGATCCGATTTAGTTATGATCGAAATTGACATCTTAAATAAAACAGGACATTTTACCACACAGGACTTCATTCTCATTAAGTTACTGAGATGAAAGCTGATGGCTTTTTTCTCATTAACACGATCACTATGGAACAGCAATAAAAATTTTTATTAGAAGATTCATTTTGTAATGGAGCCGTAAAGATAATGTTATGAAAGTTTCTGACCCCAAACATATTTAATATCCACTCTTAATAATATAGGACTGCCAAGTTATTCTAAAACGCCAGTTACAGTTCATATATATATGGTTGTATACATATGTTTGTGTATAAGTACGAGCGTAATGACTACACTACTACAGTATAACTAATGCTAATAATAATAATAATAGCAATTAACATAAAGATTAGCCGCCCTCAGCTTATTTCACCAGATGACATACCCTTACACTACCTGGGCATGTTTGTTAGGCCAGCTTCGGTTATATCAAGGTCTATATAGTATTCTTTAGATCTTGGGTTAGATAAGGTCATGTTTAATGTAGGTTAGGCTTGGTTATCTATACTGTAGGGTGGTTAATTTCAAGGCGAAATAAACCGGGGAGCTAATCTTCATGTGATCCAATACTACTACTGCGACTACTACAAGGGAAAGGCACCCCAACAGATACAACATTTCATTTCAACAAGAAGCCATTGTTTACAGTTCCCCCAGGGCCACCTAGTGACAGCACTAGGATCCCGCTTCCTCGATCAAGGAATAAACAATTGAAATTGAAATTGTTTACAGATGTTGTCTCGAAAAATTCATGCCTCTGTCTACTCATTTAGCCATTACGTAACATGGTGGGGACATTCGACCAATAAGAACTTTCGATTCGTATGAGAGAATAGTTGTCTAGGCTTTGAGAAAACAAGCTCACCAACTAATCTGCTCGTTCACAACACAGGAAAACTTGAGAGACGTACAGTATTCCTTATAATTTTAATTGTTATGATTAGTGTATATACTAACTTAGAATTACAAGCTAAAATATTTCCGCGTTGTTTTTATATTTTGGCTAAATTTCTGGACTGGCAACGAATAACGAGTAACGGCTTCCCAGTTACGAATGGTCACTGGTCAGTACAGGTACAGTCCGTCAGGTCAGGCCAGTCACTGTCTTGTCGTGTGTTAAGTGCTCGTGATCCTCTGGACCTCTCTCTCTAACTCCATAATTGAGGTATGTTACTAATAAATTAATTTTAGTATGTGTAAAATATTGCACTATGTAAGTACATTGACGATGCTACTCTGGTTGAAATAAATAAAATTAATCTGAAGATTTTCAACAGAGTTAATCACGGCAGCCATGTTTAAAACTCATCAACCGCTGCATTTCTTCATGCTCCGGTTTTGACGTGAACTAAGGAAAAGAAGTTAGCTTTATTATTATTTCGTTACTAGTGTAACTAACTATACGTGCAGTTACACTCATGATAAGAAGTGCATCCTAGTGAAAAAGTGCAGTATGTTACGGCTTTTTAGTATAATAACATTAATAATGACATCACAAAAATTGTGACCCGAGTCCTAAGTCGCTGATCTGAGTTTCTGCTTCATTTACACACAATTGCAGGGTCTCAATTGTTTCTCTTATTTTGATAACACAACATACATATATCATTTCTCAAAATTGACCTTTTTTTTATTTTTTTTATTTATTTATTATTATTATTATTATTATTATTATTATTATTATTATTATTATTAGTGTTGCTATTATTTATCAGCCAGTTCAGTTTTTTCCGCACGCATCAGTCCAAAGACTATAAACGGAAGATAGGAATGCTCGTACGAAAGCTATTGAGTTAACCGTGTGCTACAAAGCAGGAAACAGCGCCATCTATCGGCAATGCTCCAAATAAAATCTTGATCCGATAGGAGGTGGGGGTCAATCTCAAACTCCACCTCTGCTTCTTGTGTTATTGTTCATTATTAATCTTATTATATATTTTGTACGTTTTCTGAGTTTATTAACCATCAAGTTTTTTTGTCTTCTCGACATGTAAATTGTATATAGTCTGAGTTCGCCGAACTCTTTCCTTGGTAGAACTCGAACTACTTAGCGACTGGCGTCCCATCGGCTGCCTTCTGGCCGGGGTCGTGGCGCCGAACGCAAACAACTCATATGACGTGGAGGAAATTGTTTGAGTTAATCTCAACTGTAATTATGCATTATATATATACTCAACTGTTCCTGTTGCCGTATTCGGTAAACAAACAGGCGACGTTCTCACCGATACCAACGCCATCTGCTTCAGAGGCCCTTACTTCCAGCACACCCAAAAGCTCGAGCTTTTCTATCTCTCGTATATAAATTTAAGGTAGGCAGATAGAACACGACTAATTTTGTCATCGATCGCACCATGTAAACAATATTTTGCCATCGAGAGACAATACGGGGGGGGGGGGCCTTGACAACAGAAAGCACGATATTAAAGAATATTAGAGTCAGGCCAATGTTGGAGGTGTGGCAGAGGAGAACCTGTTAGTATGATAGCACAATAACAAGAGTATCACAATAAAGGACAATTTGTTTTTGTCTATCCAAGGTAACGAGGGCGACTAGTGTTTGGTACGGTACTTGAGTCACAGAACAGAGGTAACTCAAAGCCAAGCTATAAATATACGGGAAAACAGGCATCAACCCAATTTTTTTCATAATTTACACTAAATTTTAGAGGAAGACGTTTCTGAGGATTCTATGATAGCGATTTCAATTTGGCACAGTTTAATTCAAAAGATTGAGGTTAAGTTCAATAGTTCTGCCGTACAGTGTGTGACTGATCACGGTGCTTCATGTAATATTAAGTGAGGAGATAAGGGAACTGTTACATATAGATTTGATACTTTAAAACACAATGTACTGTAGTATCCTTATGGCTTGGGCACATTTATGTGTAAAAGGAAAATTCTTCACTAAAGTTGAATATTTGGGTAAGATTGTTACAGAAGAATTAGTTTTAGTATAGGGCAGTGTGATAGTGTACCGGCCTTTACTTGCCCCTAATACTGCCCTCAAATTTGGAGCTGTGTAGTTACAGTAAATATTTTAAGAATCAAGTCTATGGCTAGTTGAAGAATAATTATGAAAAATGTCTTACTGGACTTAGTAAACTAACAAGTTATCAGCGGAAATTTTTTATTGCTACAAATATAAAATTGCTATTTTTTTTACCCTAGACTAGGCTTTGAAAAGAAATCAAAAGAATTCTTTGATCACGATATTATTAAACCAGTAGAAGGATTATCACTTTGAGCAACTCCACCAGTAGTAATTCCTAAACCGGGTAACAGATTTATGACTGACATACCCGTCGCAGCGTCATTTGTTTTGATTGCTATTTTCTTAAAATAGTTTTATCGTCGAGTTCGGATATGAAATTTAGGTATTATTACAGTTTGGGCTGTCTAATGAGTGTTAGTACAGGAGAAGACCGGGGACCGGGAAACCTGTGATGTTTGGTATTACACTATATCAAAGTAAGTTCTTTCTAGTTAATATGCCGGGGGGCAGAGCCCCTCTCCCCTGCTAGGAAGTTAGGTAAGGTTAAGTAGGTTTCTTTGGTGCGGTCTTCTTACAACTCTTTGGCCGCTTGTGTTTCTTATCAACTAAGGTTAGGTTAGGTTTAATTTAAAAATAACCTCATTTTAACGAATTTTTGCTCAAACTACGACAGTGTTCACTGCAAAACAGTGAAATTGCGGATTTTAAAATTAATTTTCTATGAAAAATCGGCGTCGAGTTTGTTGTCAATAATTACCCACCGATATAACACAAAAGTCTTCGTGATTTTACGCTAAGTACAAGATGACCCTCAACAGATTATTATTTTTATTGAATAAGTTCAGTGATATAATTTTGTTGGCGAGCAATATATGCATTCAATATTATATAGTTGCCCCCAAACCTGTGTCAGCTTTGTTTTCTATAATGTGTTGTTCAAAGATGCTGATAAATTTACGGTATATCTATAATAAAAAGCTCGCTCGATCGTACAATTTTATTCACATTTCGAAAAGAAAAGGTAATTATCAGAATCAATAATGCGGTCTTATTCCGTCATGGTGGTGCTGTATCAAGCTTTATATTTTGAAATACAAATGAAGAACTTTGCATCCTTTCCTAACTTAAATATATTCCAAGATCGTTAGGTAGATAGGTCAGGGTTGGTTCGGTTTGCCAGTTTTAATAGATGGTTTATATAATTTACACAAAGACCGAATATTTGAAATTAAGTCATTTATGTGAAATTATTCCATAGAAAATTTCGCTTGTGATGCTTATGGAGAAAGGAAAGAATTCATAAAAACTTTCCATGTTTATAGCTTAAGAATTACCGGCGAATTCTTACGTCATAAAATCGCTTACTTGACCATTCACTCCCAAACTTATATAGATCGCAATAAATAAATAAATAAGGTGGCAACAGTCGACTTTGACAGGTTGATTTTTTAGGGGCTAGAAAACCGTGTACTGTGTATAAACAGCTCTCGCACGCACACCGCAAATTCTGCCTGCATTATACAGCGGCAGTGACCTACAGTTATGAACAACGTTGATCATAAGGAAAGACATGCCATCTTCCCCATTTTTAAATTGGGGAAAACATCTTTCGTACTCTAACTTTTCTGATGGGGGGTTTTAATAAAAAAAAAGATGATGATACTCCCCGAGACCCTAACAAAAACGTTAGAATGAGTATAAAAAACACATATTGTACAAATAGGATAACTTTTATTAATTTAATAAAGAACGAAGCTGAATGAATTTATTTAGTGATGTTCCTGTTTTTAAGGTTAATATTCGTCCATATGCTGTCCGCGGTAGCTCTTGTAAAAAGAGTTGAAAAAATATTGTTTTTGGTGAAAGAATTATGCTCTTAGTATATTTTTAATACATATATATTTATCATCATGCGTTGCATTTATACAAGTATGCATATAGACAATAAATTAACAATTGATGACAAATTCAAGTAAACTCTTTCTATATGTAAAGTTAACGTAAATCATCTCACACTTTATATTACAGTATAGTGTATCTGTAGAGCACTGTTGGACTGTACGTAATGTTATTGTTTCACTTCCGCTTATAGTGCAGTAATTATTCAGATAATTATAAACCTTTCAACTGGCTTGGAAAGTTAATTTCATAATTCACAAAAGTCTTAAACCACAAAATTATTTTCTACATTTGTCATAAACAACTTTACAGCACTTAACACTTATATTCAGTTTGTTCTCGGCTGCGAGTATGAACCTGTGTTACCACTTCACCTAAAACACTTATCTAGTTGGTCACGACTTGCCTGGATTTCCGTGCCATATGAAATCATCAGGGAATCTGGATCGTCGTGGTCGTGTGATGGGTGAGCTTGTGGCCACAGGAGCCTGGGTTTCCCTCATAGCATGGACTACTTGTGATAGGGACTGAGACACCAGCATATTTCCCTGGGAGGTACAGCTGTCATTTTGGGCTAACTGATACGCTCTCTGAGTTGAATCTTGGTGTGAAGAGTCTAATATGGCAGATGAGGCGATGATATTGTCTTCAGCATTAGGATCGTCTGTGTAGTGAGGGAGCTGGTAGACTTCAGGGATGCTAATGCTTTGGTTGTCACTTTTGTCTATCTGACCCAAGTGTCTAATTTTTGAACTTGGGCTGTACTGTGCAGGACTAGGTTTGGGTGGAGTGGGTGGAGGGTGGTGTCGTAGTTTGGGTGGGGTGGGTGGACGGTGATATCGTAGTTTGGGTCGGGTTGGTGGGGACCGATGCCTTGTCGGACTCTGGGGAACAGGTGGTGGGCGATGTTGGACCTCAGTTGGTGGGTCAGCGAGTAGGCTATGGTGTTTTTGACTTTCTGATGTAGGCCTAGCTGGGTGATGCTTTTGGACTACGGAAGGTGAATCTGTTGGCAAACGGCGATGCTGACCTCTTGGTGGTGGGTCGGGTGTTAGCTGGCGGTGCTGGACTTTGGTCAGTGAATCTTCAAGTAAACGGCGAAATTGGTCTCTATCTGGTGAGCTTAAGGGCAGTTGGCGGTGTTGGACTCTGGTCGGTGAGTCTGATCGTAGCTGGCCCTTCTGGATTTTGGTTGGTGAGTCGTTTACTATCTGGCGGTGCTGGACTCTAGTTGGGGAGGTGAGCTGCATTTTGTGATGTTGGATCCTGATAATTGGTGACGAGGGTGGTAGATGCTGTTGACGGTCAGGCGTGTGATGGCGTAGTGCACCCGTTGGTGATGAGTTAGGTCGCTGCTGGTGGAGGATGCCACTTCTGGAAGTTCTGGGACTGGTGTGAATGTTGCCACGTCTGTCAGGTTGCCCTTGAGTGATGGACTGTGCTAGCAGAGAGTCTATGTTGCTCCGCGGCCTTGAATCCCGACCTGCTCCTGTTTGATGATATTTGGAAGTCAGTGAAATAAGGTGTATTCAAACTACATCAAACAGTTTTTATACTGTGCTGACAAACGTGTTAGAATGTACAGTACTGGAACACTATAGTTCAGTATAAATATTGCTGATAAAAATGTCTAAGGTTACAGATGTTGAGACATTTGTTTTACTTGTTTACAATTAATATTAACAAAAATAGAAGTTACGTAATAAATTTGTATACAAAATCCAGAAGTCTAAAGGAAAATATCTTCATTGAACACTTAAACATTTCCTTCATAAATTCTTCCCTCGGGGACTTGCCAGGGGGATCATACTGTATGTGAAAACTTCATAAAACATTGCAGTTATCAACCTCGGTAAGACGGACTCAACAAAGAAACAGTATTTTGGAGATTCTTACCTGTTGGGTTTTATATCTGTTAATAAACATTATACAGTACTTACTAATGAAACATTTTAAGCTGTGATTAAACAGATTTAATAAACTTAAGATTTTTAGCGTTCAAATCAAATCTACAAAATACTATATTATTTGATTAAAACATTTGTTGTGTTGAATGTGATCAACAATTAATCTTACCTTCAGAGACGTAAGCCTGGTGATAGTTATTTTGCTGTTGGTGGTAAGTGGAAGAGTGAGCCCCAGTCAGAGTTATGAACGAGTCAGTTTGTGTAGTTTGTTTTGTGGGATGTTTTGTTGGCTGTCCGTGCTGTAGCGCCTGCTGGATATTTTCGCTTCGTTCGTGTTGCTGTAAGTCTTCTTTAATTTGTTGTGCATAAGACAAAGCGTCGTGTTCTTTAGGAGTATGTGAATGTGTCTGTCCAGAGGGCTGAGGTGAACTGGCTGAGTTATCACAGAAGATGGCAGTGTCAGTGCTCTCGTGTGATGAGTCAGACGTTTGGTCATCGTCTAAGACAGAGTTCCTCTGTTGTAGCTGAGGAGTTATGTTATCCCTGAGTCTAGGGATAAGGGAGGAGGCTTCTGGGCTGGCTGTAGACGGTACTATCTCTTTACTGTGGTTGGGTAGTCTGCCATTTCCAAATAACCTATTCCTGGAGAGAGTAGAATCAGGTTTATTAATTTCTTGGGTGTGCAAGTGAACAGTGTCTGGTATTCTGCCTCGGCGCTTCAAGGTTCCGGTCCACTTCCTGACAGTTTTGGGGTTCTTGTTAGCGCTGCTTTTATGTGTCTGGCCTGAAGCTGAAGGGCGCGGTAAGTTGGTATTTTGTCCACGGCCTTTATTGTTGTGATGTTCAGCCTGCAATAATGGGGTCAGTTAGTTTCAGTGGTTATAGCGAGCACACACACACACACACACAAGCTGTTCTAAAGTTACATAAATTACATAAACACACATGATTCTCTCAGTAAATTTTTGGAAAACCTTGTACGTTGGTATAATGATACTTTTTGTTAGTATGAAAGCTTTACATTCATGGGGTCTTGAGATGTCTGGTGTGGATCAAATATTCATCTGGAAGTTAAGACGTTACTGTACCTGATAAGCTTCAGTAGTCTTGGAAGACCTTGATTTGAGACTCTTGAGGATGTGGTGGTGGTGGTGGTGGTGCAGATGATGGTGATCCTCGGGGCTGGAGGTTGATGTATTGCCGCCACCTTGAGTAGTTACCGAGGTAGTCTTGGTAGAGGAGGACGCTATAGAGAGGGAGGGAGGGAAATCAGTCTTGTATCCGATGGTATTTACTCCATATCATCATTTTCACTCAACTGTATATTTTCAAACGTACAGACTGTTGACGTTTAGGACTTTGGTGAACGATAATTTTTCATAATCTAGATAAAATTTTATATCATTGTAATTTTTATGTTGAGATTAGTTATATGTCACTTATCTTACACAACCACGCTCCTTCAGGACTCATATATACGGAGTCTTATTATGTACTCAGCCATAAATTCATTCTCTTATATTTCTTACGTACTCTTGTCATTCTCTGTGTCTCTCTCCCTCCCTATCTCGCTCTTATCTCTCTTCCCTCTTCCTTTCCATACCTTTCCCCTTCCCTCTCCGTCTCTCATCCCTTCCCTTTCTGTTTCCTTCTCTATTCACCCTCTCTCTATATCCTCTCCCTCTTTCTGCTCCCTCCCCACTCTCTCTCTCTCTCTCCCATCTGTTCTGGATTAGGCTGCCGTACCCTTACATCTTGAGGGATGTTTCTTCTTCTTTTTGTGGCGCTGTAAGATGCAGGCGATGATGGCCACGTTGAGCACCAGGAGGGCCATCGCTGACATGATGATCACCAGCAGGAGGTAACTGGTGAGACGGTGGCCGCTACTTATGCTAGTACCTGTGGAGATGAACAACCCAACCCACCCCCCTCGATCATTGCATCTCTTTAAACCTTCACGTATTATAAACAAAGACTTGAGCAATTTATTAGTACCACAGTTAACGAATACCACAGCTAACACGTCTCTTATTATGAACTGATTCGTTTCAAGTGGCGTTATTTATATCTAAATCCCTGTAAGTGCTTGTACATGGATAACCTTTTAACCACAGCTAGTAATACTGTACCTCCACCACACTTACACACACCGTAAACAGTCTTCAGCGTGTAAAGGACAACGAACACGGCTCTTCACACCTAGTCGTCGCTACAAATGACTTTATGTCTGTTTAAATCCTCGTAAAAAGTATTGAGAGTCATGATGATCCGAATTGTGTCCTGTGATCTGGGATACTAGACCGGCGGAGTAGTACAGTATTCCAGCACCTTCAGTTGGTTATAGGTACAGAATCTAGTTTTCTAATGAGTGGTGGTAAAAAAAAAAAGTCACCGGTACAAAAATCACTAGTGCAGTACAGTACTAAAGAGCCATCCTGACAATGTTTATCCTCGGTAGAACTCCAGATAAGAAGGCCACCCATTGTGTCTCAGTGTAATTGAACAGCTGCGTCAAACTAATATCAACGCTCTTTGATATATTGTGTTGAAAATAATAACGACTAAAAGACTTAAATTACGTGTATAAGGTTTGTGATGTATAAGGTACTGTACAGTGTATGCTGACAGTATTGTATAAACGTCTGTTCAGGTTGTTAAATAATTTTGGTTCAGATTATTTATAATATAACATATAAAGATATTTTCCTATTATTTATGTTTAAAGTATTATATAAGTTTCTCTCCAGATTATTATTATATAAACACCTGTTAAAATAATTATATAAACCTGCTCATATCACCAAGCTCGTGTCCTGGGGTAATGATAAAGGTTAACTGCTGTAAAACAAAGAGTTCTCTCAAAAATTTTTATCTTTGTTGAACTAGTGTATTACTAACCTTGTTACGCTCTTAAAAACCTTCGTTGTTGAAGCGCAGTAATAACATTTTAACAACAACAGCTGTACTATTACACTAAGTTATTTAAATAAATATCCATGAACTATAATTAGTGCTATATTATGTGAGAGACTGCCTTCATCGTCAGTAGCCTACTGCTGCAGGAGCCTTACCGAGCGTGGTGACCGTGACGGCAGGTGTGGAGTAGTCGGAGCTGCCCTGGTCATTATCGGCCTTGACGCTGAAGGTGTACCTCACGCCTGGTGACAGCCCTTCCACTCTCACCCCGGTCGACCCTCCGTCAGCCTCCTTGTACTGGTGGAGGAAATCACTATAGACTTGCGAGCGTCTCCATCATACAGTAGTGAGGTATTTGACGCTCAGGGCAAATTGTTAATACAATATTAATGTACATTAGCTCTCGTGTAGAAAATGTCGTCAACAACATAGGTCAATGGAATAGAGGATTTTTGTTTTAGACTCCACTAGAGGTTCATAAATTTGGGAGTGTTTAATGCCAGGAGTAATACGGCACTTATCCAGACTCTGTGTTTGATGATGATCTGTGAGTGTGTGTATGCCTGATGATGACCTGTGAGTGTGTGTATGCCTGATGATGACCTGTGAGTGTGTGTATGCCTGATACATTAACTTTACGGTTTTAACAGTATATCAACACACTTCATTACTTCCCTTACTCTTGAACTAGGGCGCCCTGATCTTTATTACTTTCTTCTGCAGTGAACTTATGGGCAAAGGTCACCCACACACCAGGCAGGATGACCCGTTACCTCAGTACGCCCAGCTGTACACAAGAGTTTACCAAGGACTTTCTCATCAGGAATGACGGTGAGTGTATTTTAAGATCTGTTTTGTGAGGCAGGAAATAAGTCGAGTGCCAATAATATAGAAAATAAGCTGTTAAAAGTAGTAATGCAGTGAAAGAGTCGCCAGTCACAGTTAATCGCAGTGCAATGAAGTCCTTGTTAAATGTGTAGTTAGACAAATTTATCTATTTGTTAATCTATTTTTATTTGATTAGTCACCCCTGTAACCCCTGATGTGGACTGTGGGTCGCCAACCCTCAGATATGAGTACGGTACTGTTCCCTGACTGTGTATCCCTGGTTGACTCGACTCAATGTTTGCCAGTGTTTGTCTCCTTACACTGTCCATGTTACAGACTGAACCTATGTGAACTATAGTGACGCTTTTACTGAATACGTACCTATTTATCGTGTGTTTGGGTATATTTGGGTTATTCATGCCGTTCTTGTTTATATATCTATCATTTATTCTATCTGCTATGTGAGGGTGAGGTCTACCACGCTAATAGCATGTCATTTAGAGACGAGGATGGTGAGAGTAAAGGACTACCTTGGACGACAGATACAATTTCAAGGTAGTAAGGAGAGGTCACAAGCCTAGGGTCAGTCTCCAGGATATAGGGATTGTGACCAGAAGTTCCAGGTGTTGGTCGAGGGACTCTTCCGTGAAACACCAGGATATGGAATTGTGTGCGGAGATTAAACAACATTGAGAGGTCACGTTAGACAAGTTGGAGGAGATAGCAAAGGACATTTCTGACGATTAGGAGACGCAGATATAACAGTAAAAGGAAAGAACCTCAGTCCTCCTCCATGTGTTATTGTCTCCTCTAGTCGTCAACAAGGTCTGTAGAATATAAATATTTTATAGACTTTGGTCGTCACCTCACAGACCAAGTCGCAGCTGTTTTGTCAGGAGTCCAAGTCTCAGACCATACTTGGTGCCTCCCTTGGATCACACATCATCATCATCCTCGGCCAGAAAAGTATCTGATCTGACCAGGAGGATCCACAATATAAAGAATATAAACGTTCATGACACCTTCCACCTCCCCACCAGGTGTCTGGCCTCACCCTTCATTAAGTTATTTGTAGGGAGCTACGACCTGCATTCAAGATTATAGTTTACAGTGAGTCAAGTCCCTAAAGTACACTCACCTCGTAGTCTAGTGTGCCGTCAGCCCTGTACCTCACAGTAAAGCTATGAGGCATCCCAGCGTCTAAGTTAGGTGACCAGCCCAGCACTACTGACACATCGCTCACGTTAACCATCTGCGGACAAAGGTGTAATCAAGTACAGGTGACAAATGAACAGAACAATACATCCATAGACTATCTATTTTTTTTCTACTTGAAACATTTTCTGTTAAATATGTCGAGTGACCCTGGCTCTCACAACTAAGGAACTGCCAGTGTCTTACAATGGGAAACATGACTATGTGGGTTAGGTGATGGTCGCCCCAAGAAGCACACACAAGTAAACAGCAAATTAGAAAAAGAAACAGTAAGACATGAATAAATTAAACGATTAAGTTATGCCCCGGTATTTGTTACCTTATATTAAAGTACAGTACACGAAGAACTGTGCAAGTATTAAGGTTAGGGTTGGATGGAACTATCATTAACTGTAGTAAATAGTACAGTACAATTGTAACACAAGAGGTGAAAAGAGAATTAAGACTAAGGTTACTGTATGGACTGTGAGAAGTGATTAGGGGTGAAAGAGGGAATTTCCACAAGTGGTCAGCCGACGAGTGTTTTCCTGTGATATAGTCATTTTAAGTGTTGCAGCTCCAGTGTTTACTATTACAGTGTTTGAGTTGTGTGTTTGGGTCATGTAATGTTAGCGTAAATATAGTAATATATACTGTAGTTAATTTCATAGGCGACTTGTCTCGGTTACACTGGCAGTATAAGTGCAGGTTTGATTGATGAACTGTCAGGAAGTTGATGATTACGACTAATGTATTACACTTATTATTATTACTATCATAACACGGGTTTAGTTATGGTTAGCATTTAAAGCAGGAAGTTTCAGTAAACGTTCAGAAGATATATATCATGGCCAACACACACACACCAGTGATACCGACCATTTCTTAATAGCTGTTGAAGAAGAGTTACAAGTGCAGGATGGTTATTACTGTATAAAACTGTGTCCCATAACTCACTACGGTATACTAAGGCTTCGACACGGAAGGCACTGTGTCCGACACTGCACCTCACTGCCTTCACTTCCTCAACTCTAAAGTTAAGCAACCGTTTACAGCTGCGTGGACTGTTAAGTGGTATCAGGGATCGAACCAGTGACCTTTAAGACAGGAGACGAGCGTTGTATCCACCGTAATATATATTAAGAATGTGATTTACGTCTGAAAACCAGTTTGAGATCTCTTCAGACAAACATAAACTGTCTGTCTTTCTTTAGCCTCAGTTAATATGACATCACGAGCTCTTAATAACTATACAGTAAGTTAAATCATACAACATAGTCTTAGAATGACCGGGATGTTTGACTTAACCAAAGATACATAGTTGAAAAAGACACTCAGGTTTACAGTAAAGAAAAAGCACACATTTTAATAAGGAAAAACTAGACCCCAAATATCTTCACCCGAGAAGCATTTATATGACAATAACAAGATTGACAGTGCGGCTGGTAGGTGGGTGTGGGCGTGTGGGAGATACTAACAGTAAAGTTGGCAGGTGGGCGTGGGTGTGTGGGAGGCATGAGAGTGAGGGTGGTGGAGTCTGTGCCCAGGTCGTTGGAAGCAGAGCAGTGGTAGTCTCGGTAGTCGTGTTGGGTGATGACTTCCACCTCCAGTACTGACGCCCACAGCACCAGCTCATCCAACAACTGTGAGATAGATAGATAGATAGATAGATAGATAGATAGATAGATATTGTTATCATTAATTTTTCACAACAATACGAAATAATACATTACACAATTTCATTACTTATTATCAAACACAAACTAGCATGGTGATAAATGTTTACTTTTAATCATAATCTTGATAAGCTAAAGTTACCATAGTTGAGTCTTGGTCTTTATTTGGGGTGTGTGTGTCTGTGTGTGTGTGTGTGTGTGTGTGTGTGTGTGTGTGTGTGTGTGTGTGTGTGTGAGACCGCCACTCACCTTTGCCTTATGGATGGTGTATTTCTCATTGTTGTGAATATTTCTAACATCTTCAGTAGTCCAGGTGAAGGATGGTGGTGGAGCGGCCCTCACATGGCAGACAAGTCTCCCTCTCTTACCCAGGGCCACCCAGGACCCGTGTGTGCTGGCCATCTCCCTGGCCACAGACACAGGCTCTGGTGGAGGACACTGGTGGTAATGGCCGGCTCCTCACACCAAGTTGTCAGAATTATATGTAGCTGGAATAACTAGAGGGGATAATAGAATTTACAAATAATCACAAAAGTCGTTCCACACCTCTGAGTAGTTAATGTATCAGTAGAGATCATTACTGTGTTGGTCCATTCAGGAATATGTCCCAAACATCGATGTTATTACTGTGCTTCAACAACTGAGGTCTTTAAGCGGGTAACTAGGTTTATAATTATTACACGAGTCCATCAACAATTAAAAACTGATATGAAGTGGTGAAACATTATTGGTATTATTTATAACTTGTAATACGATCTGTAAATTAATAAACTTGCTGGGTCAGTAGTGATGGTCAGTAGTCCACAGACACACGAGGTTGTTGCTATATGTCTCCTACTCTTCAAATTATGGGGTAAGAAGCACAGGGAGACATCAGTTCTACCATATAAAGATTAATATATTAGGTTGAGAAGTAGCATACGTACGTGTGACGATGAGTTTGGTTGTCACGGGTGGGGGTGAGGCGAGCAGGCTGGAGGCGCTACACTGGTACACGCCTGTGTTCTCACGCCTGGCTGACGTCAGCATTAGCCGCGCCACACCCACACCTGAGCTCAGAGTGTGGTTCCTGTCAGGAAGGTTGGTGATATATAGTTGCTGTTATAGAGTGATATACTGGACACAGTGCACGCCTAATAGACGACCATCCTACATTATTTCTAACCAAAAATAATCGTCATTGAAATTTCTTATATTCATCAGAAATTAATTCCAGCTTCTTCAACAAAGAATATTTTAACACGAAGATGAAATATCTTAACAAAATACATAAGTATATGAATAAAATAAGTACAAGTCACTCGTGCAATGTGGCGCCGACAAAATTAATTATTCTGTCAGTGACTGAGTGATAATTACGTAAAGAGCTGTTATCGTGACTTGAAATTTGCAACATATCAAGCCAGTGACCTATTATACGACACAAGTTGAGCACATTTCTGCGAGAATACATTAATAGCTGTGTTTTCTATTTATTTTTTCAGTTGTCCTTCGTTCATTGCTATACATCTCCGTGAGTCTTAAAACGTATAGAGGTTGTCACGCTTGGTAGAAATTATAATTATTCTTAATTCTTCTCACATATCAAAAAAAGAAACACTGGCTCATTCCAGACAATCTGAACCAAAACATCTCTAAAGGAACGAAAGACAGCACATCTAAAACAGTTCAGTATTTCACATCATACGACAGGACCTGTGAGATGAAAAGGAAGTAAGTGCGTGACAGCAGCCATTGAGAAAATTTGAAAACACTTTAAGAGAAGAGTACCCCAAAGCTGAAGAATTTATGACTGTAGACGTACTAGGAAGGAAACTAACTGGAGAAGTTTATGGAAGTAGTTATCATACAGCCAGAAACGATGGCGAAAGTGCTGGCCAGTACGAGATCTGGTCCAAGTGAGGTGTGGGGGAGGGTTACCTGCTGGTCCAGGTGAGGTGTGGGGGACCTGCTGAGGTTACCTGCTGGTCCAGGTGAGGTGTGGGGGACCTGCTGGTCCAAGTGAGGTGTGGGGGAGGGTTACCTGCTGGTCCAGGTGAGGTGTGGGGGAGGGTTACCTGCTGGTCCAGGTGAGGTGTGGGGGTGGGTTGCCTGTAGCTGAGCACTGGACGTTCACACTGTCACCTTCATCCAGAGTCACGCGTTCTGGAGCTTTCACGTCCTCAGGTCCGTCTGTTGTGAGACGTGAGAAACGGTTTTGTTACTTCGTCAACATTACCATTAGTTATTACTCTTGACACCGTGATATATAGCGCTCTGAGAGTCTACGTGTTTAATGTAAATGAATCCCATTTATTTCAATATAATTCTAGATATAAACACAAATCATTTATTATTTAGTGATGTTATTCGTTAACCATTAGTGTGGTTGATCGTGGCAACTTTCATTTGAAAGGAAAACAAATTATCAGTCCTGGTTACAAAATCAATAAATAAAACAAATAGCATTTAGTTACACCTACACTTAACGTTGATGAAGAAGGTGGTGTTGACGGCTCCCCTCTGGCTGTAGGCGCTGACGGTGTAATTACCGGCCATATCCCTGGTGATCCGTCCCAGTCGCAGCTCCCCGCCGGCGCTCACCAGAGTCTCACGATCGCGTCTCCACCAGTACCTGCAGGGTGGAGGGCTGAAGACAGATGGCAGCAGCGACTTATGAACCACTTTGCGACTCTCTTAAGGCACCGAGTTACTAGTGTTTTCATTCATGATTTTTAATTGATTCATAAGTTAATATCTTCTTTTAATAATATAGAGAAATAACATCTAAAGTTAAGTGGGCCAGTTAGATGTCTTCCCAAATCAAGTTAAGAAACACTAACGTACGTAATTTTGAATATCTGTGTTGTGTACGATGCTTGCCCCGTCGCCAACAAGCTATACTGTACTGGGATAAAAGACTCCTACTACAGTGATGATATACTTTTTTCCGCATGCTGTGTCTTGAACCATCAGATACATGTGTAAATGACACTAAAGGCTACACTGTGTCTGATGTTGAAGGACCTGTAAATCATTTATCAATCATCTAGGGGACGTGTGATATTATTGTGTAGTTCTCCAACAGACTGAGGTGTTATTTACAAGTGTTGTAAACATGGAAGAGGTTTACTTTTTTTCCCTGAGCACAGGGTAGTTAAATTTCCGAATGTAAAGTTGAATTTTCCAATAAATTGATCATCAATTATTTCAGGAGAAATCTGAAATAACTGTCAATACTCGTTTGGCCTCATACAAACATTATCCACACTTTTACGGGTGTTTTGGCCTGGCTAACTTTACTCTGGTTAAGGTCAACAGCTATTATAGGCCAAAACAGCTGGGTGGAAACCGTTTCTATCTCAACTAACCTGACAGGCAGCGGGTTGGCGACGGCCGTGGCTGTGACGACCACCTGGGCGCCCTCCCTCACGTTCAGCTGGGCGGCGGGCTTCTTCACCCACAGTGGCGGGTCTGGCGGGGCGGGGTGGGGCAGGACGTACATATTAGTCATGGAAGATTACAGAGTAGGGTGATTGGACAGTATCATATCGAACATTTTTTCACTAGACAGGTGAAGGTTGAGTAAGGAAAACACGAGTTAGGCATGATGGTGGTAGCGGTAGTAGGGATGGTGGTAGGAATGATTATTGTGTTCCGGATGTCACCATTAACGCCTTCCACGATAACTGACGCCCTTGTGTGTGTGTGACCACCTCTCTGCCCTGCTGTATCCCCAGGCACGTGAACTTAGCCTACAAGTTTTATCCAAGTAGTCTTAATGAGTTGTTGTTTACCATGTAACCCTCTTCTCACGTCTACTGCCACGTGTTGTACCTTACCCAGAATACTTTACTTAAACCCCCCGTTACATTCTCATCAAAATAAAACTCTATAGACAATATATAAGTTCAGAAGTTATGGTATTACTGTATAGAGTCAGACTAAGTGTTGTGAATGGTAGTGCGAGTAACTGGTGGTGGTGGTCATTACGCAAAACATTGAGAGTGATCTTCTTGTGGATGGCGGCACCCACACCATTGTCTGCCTCACACACCAACACTCTTCCGTTGTCCTCAGCCGTCGTTCTCAACTGCACCTCAGACCTAATGGGTACATAATCTTGTGTCAGTAATTTGTGTGAAATGAATGTATACTATTTTTTTTTCAGTATTAAGTAAAGGGAAAAATAGCATAGCATCAGAGTTCAAACTCAATAGAGATTTAGCTCTCGTGTGTACTTTGTCAATCCCTTGAGTACAGTGTAGGAGCCTACTGAGTAAGATAACTCATTTGAGTACGGTGAGTAACGTTAACCACTTGAATGTAATGACTTAATCCCTTGAGTACAATTTCTTAAACCTTGCAGTACAGTACGCTGACCAATACCCTTAAGTAACTAATGCGATTAAGTCATTAAACTCAAGGTGCTAAACTAAAGATTATTTTGAGACGTGGAAAAATCGTGTAACAACGTAATAGGGCTAAATCTCTCTCAGCTTAAATTTTGATGATGAGATATTTCTACATTTACTTAACACTGGAAACGATATAGATGGTGGAACACACTTGGCCAGAATAACCCACAACCACGGCGGAATGTAAACAAACTCCCAGGTGACCTCCCTCTTACCCACAGCGTTCACATTAAGATCATCCACTTCCCCTGGCGCCAGACCCTCACTCACCTGGTGCTGGTCCCTCCAAACGCAGCAGGAGCCGAGTGTATAAGAGCCCCCTTCAGCGGGACGCCCCCAGACCTCCAGGTGATGTTGGCTTGAGGGAGGCTGGGAGAGGCGTGGCAAGATACGGTCACTATGCCGCCCATCTCCGCCGTGCTGGGTTCCGCCGACACTGTCACCTCCTGAGGGGCGACTGTGAGGGAGGATGAGAGAGACTGAGACACTTACCGAGAGACAACAATACGAAGATACAAATATTTCGTAGAAGACAAAAATAATTAGTTACAAAATGGCTAGATAAATAAGTGGATAGACAGACACAGGCAGATAAACACACACACACACACACACACACACACACAGGGATCTTACACAGTACAGAGAGCTTGGTGGCGGTGACTTTGGGTGACACACTGGTTGGGCTGATCACCTCGCACTTGACCTCTGCTCCATTGTCAGCTGGTATGACCTCCACCCTGCTCCTGGCGCGGGTCACGCTGCCCTCCTGCGTCACCTCCGTCGGTACTAACAATCCTTGTTTGTAGATCCTGTTTTTAGACGCACAATGGAAAAACAAGCAAATAAATATAAAGTATTGTTATTGATTATATGTGATGCGTTGTTGAATAAAAGATATGTGATATACTGAACTACACTCATCAGCCCTAAACTTTTCATCATCATCATCATCATCATCATCATCATCATCATCATCATCACCACCATCATCACCATCATCATCATCATCATCCAACCTTCCTTGACCTCCTCCTCCTCCAAATTTCCTAACTCCATCTGACGATCATGTAGTTGGAGTCATATTTTTATTTATTTATTTTGTATTTTTTTGTATTTTCCTGTCTCATGGGATCCAGACGAGGAACCATGCCAGTAGGTTAGGGTGTGTGAGGGAGGGTTACTTACTTGACGGAGGGGGGTGGATGACCTCCCACGATAGAGCAGACCAGGTCAAGGGAGGTGCCGGCTATGACCTCTCGCTCCAGGTGGCCCTCAAATACCGGTGCTTCCGCGGGTCCTGAGGTGGGGAAGAGGGAGGGGGAGGAGAGAAGGAGATGGGGAGGGGAGAAGGAGATGGGGAGGGGAGAGAAGTAGATGAGGAGGGGAGAGAGAGAGGGAGATGAGATGAAAATCCTTGAGGCGAAAGTTTCTAGCTTAAGGATCAAGTTTCTTCAGTAAAAGTTTCCACAGTAAGGGAAAGTCTTGTCATTGAGAAGAAATTGGTTACCCTATATTAAGTCTTTTTAGGTCACTATGATAAAAAAAATGTATATGACAAAGTCTGTTAAGGTTTTACAGTAATAAAGGCTTTAAGATCACAATGAGATAAAGAATTAAACGCAAGGGACATAAATATCAGCAAGTGAACAAGAGAAGGTCAGGCAACGACTCACTGATGACTGTGATGAATAGCGTCTTGTCGATGGGAAGGTTGAGGGCAGAGTGCTCGGCGCGACACACCACCTGTAGCTGGTCCCCCCGCAGCTGGCTCATATCCACCTGCTGCACCAACCTCGACCAGCTGATCCAACCACCTGTTCTCACCTGGCTCACCACCGCCCCGGGTGACGCCACCTCTTCACCTGTGTATTGGGATATTGGTTAAACACCCCCGTTAGTGTCAGCCTCATGTTGTACTGAACCAATGACCAACACACAGGTTCATTTATGCTTTTGTAGATTATTAATATAAGTTGAGACTCAAGTATAAAGTATAGTTAAGGATCTTTAGGTCAAATATTATTACTTCTCTAGTGATCTTATGGCCCTGAATTCCCATCTTAATGACCATATCAATACGTTGTTGAAATTATTGTAATTACACTGATTATCTCACCACGAGGTCTGACGTTTTCAACTATACATACAACCATTCGTAACACAGTACCGCTAAATTGTCTTTGTGTTTGTAAGGGAAGAAATATTTTGACTTAGATTTGCCATTTTTGAGTAATATTTCTCGACATATATATTGTGAAATTGTTGGATCACGACAGAAAGCACAAGACACTGACACAGGCTTCAGGGACGTGGTACACAGTGAGGAGTAACTGTTAAAGTATTAGTCAAGGATCTGTTCATTGTTTGTAAACGGGAAAAGAAAGTTTATATCACGCACACACACACACCTTGGACGAGCCAGGTGAGGGAGGCGGGGGGGTTGGCCTGGGACGTGTCACACCTGAGCGACACGGAGGTCCCTGCCTCTGCCCGCGACGGTCCCCTCACCCTCACCTCCGACGGCGGATCTGTCAGGGAAAATAAACGTAAACAAACACAACTATTTATGGACAATCTCAAGCTAATTGGAGATCGCCTGAAGATTAACCCGAGCTTATTTCACCCTAAGATTAACCCGAGCTTATTTCACCCTAAGATTAACCCGAGCTTATTTCACCCTAAGATTAACCCGAGCTTATTTCACCCTAAGATTAACCCGAGCTTATTTCACCCTAAGATTAACCCGAGCTTATTTCACCCTAAGATTAACCCGAGCTTGTTTCACCCTAAGATTAACCCGAGCTTATTTCACCCTAAGATTAACCCGAGCTTATTTCACCCTAAGATTAACCCGAGCTTATTTCACCCTAAGATTAACCACCCTAATGCTAAGCTAATCTCATCTAACAGCAACGTAACTTAACTTAATATAAGAGTTAAGACACATGACCCAGGATGGGCATTATGTCACAGAAGACCATAAAATTCACAGTGACCTACAACCTAAGAATGTCATTGAATAACCCACACGGATTATTATGTAGATTATATTAACTTAGAATACTCTAATATGTGAAGCTGACCATCTGAAACCACGACAGGTGTAAGGACAAAAACTCACAGTGGACGGTGAGGGTTAGAGTGAGGCTGGAGGGTGACTCACAGTGGACGGTGAGGTTGGAGAAAGACTCACAGTGGACGGTGAGGGTGACGTTGGCCTCCAGCTGTTGCTCCAGGAGTCTGCTGCTGACGTGACACTCGTACTTGGCGCCGTCCTCCGCCGCCGTCACCACCAGGTCGTGGATGTTTATCGTGCTAGTGGCGTCTCGGGAGTAGGTGTCGTCCAGGAGGCGGCCATCGCGGTACCAGAAGAGGGAGGGACGTGGGTTGCCTCCTGACACACGGCAGGTGAGGGAGCGCCGCACACCAGCCCTCAGCGCCTCTCCCGTCGCATACCCGCTGATGACAGGTCGGTCTGGTGGGTCTGTGGGTAGTGTGATTACCATTTTACCCGTTACAGGCGGTGGTGACTGACAATGCACACATATAAAGGTTTCTTTATTATTTTGTGAGTTTGTTAATATTACTGTAGTGTATATTAAGGTTCTAACATATCCTCGGGTCTACAAAATTAATATATTTACACGAGCAGTTAATAACATGATAGAGGCAAATGCCCACAAGCTTCTCGTTGCATTTGTTATATCCAATGGAGATTTCAATCGACTAAGAGAATTGTTTCTAATTGTTGATGATCTAATGTAATTACTAAGTTAAGTTACGCACTTGAAGATATTATTTATTGAAGCGCAGTAACAACATTATAACATGAACTTATACAGAGAATCGTCCCTATGCTAGTAACTAAAAAAAACTATCGTTACTGGGGGGGGGGGTCGATGAATTTCAGAATGAACACTGCGACTCTTGTTATCTAGGTGGGGTTGTCAAAATCCTTCGTACGTTGTGTCATATTTTCTCAACACTCTTTGTAAAGACAGTTTTTTGAGTGATTGTACACTTATCTTTCACTCACTACAGTATTTTAAGTGAATTTCTGATTGTTTCGTTGGTGTGTCATAAAGTTTGTTAATTCATTAGCATTCGATGGAAAAGTGTCCGTGATTTCTTTGATTTTATGTGTGTGGAAGTGTTGGAAATTGTTTGTGTTGTTTTCGCCTTTCATTCACCCGTTTAGCTCTCCCAATCAACAGTCTGTAGCCCCCTCTCGGACTTCCCTTCCCTTATTTCCTCCTCCACTCAGCCCTCCCTTCCCCTCTCAGACCACTCACGGAAGACAGCGAGGGTGCGGGTGGCTACCAGGCCAGCAGAACCCTGGAGAGCTGGGTGTACCGCCCTACATGTCACCTTCTTCCCGTCATCCTCAGCCTTAGCCCTCAACACCACCTGGCTCCTCACGTTCCACCTGTCCGCCACTGACGACGGCATCACCTGCGACTCCTCTTGATCTGTGGGGGAGAGAAGAAGAGGAAAAAACGCCAAGTTAATGAAAGTGGTACAGGAAGGTCATTATCGAGGTGATAATTTCCAGGGAAATTTTCAACGATTTAAATTGAGTAAGTGCTGTACAAGCTGGGAAGGTTTTCCCCTAAACCTGAAATAGTTTTTTTTGTTTTTGTAAGATAATAATAATAATAATTAAACATCATCAGAACGGGTGTAAACTCTGTCCACGAACCGTTGTTACTGAAAATCATTGTAGTTTGTCTTTTGTCATCGTTTCCTTTAACTGTCTAAAGAAAATTGTGTTATTCTTGCACAAATCGTAAATTTTCACGCCTTTTGCATGTACAGTACAGGTATATCAAAAGCTTACTAAGTTTGGTGCAAACCTGCTCAAGTTATCTCGGGGAAACACAGACAGAACGGAAAATAATACACAGGTCCGTTGTTGCGGGCACGGTAATAATAATGATTATAATAATACTAATTATAATAATAATAATACGATTCAGTAATAATATAGTTTATTCCATTTTATTAAAACATTGAATATGAATTACTAACCAAATTTTACCAGAGAACACGGAGGAGGTACCCTGAGAAAATTAAGGAATACAAATTTTGTCCCCCCCTTCCCCTCCTATTCCTCTCCTTCCTCCCCCCGCCCCGCCCCGCCCCGCCCCGCTTGTTTGCTTCACTTAATATTCACAAACATCCTTAAGTAGCGTAGAAAAGGTGACGAAAAAAGTTTGAGGGTTGGTGAGAGGGTGGGCGTGACACTGACAGCAGCGCCCAGGGCTATCTGAGCCTACCCGAAGGTGGAACTTGTTACCTGCTTCATGTCGCTGGTGAAATCGGACAATAACATCGGCAGGAGTTACGTTCCTGTAAAGGTTCATTAACTTTTACGGTATAGATAAGAGGGGAAATAATTCTAGAGCTAAGGTGAGGGGGTACTAGTCATTGAACTTACCTGTGTTCACCTGAGTGTCTCCCAGGTACCACATTATGGAGGACGGGGGGCGGGCGTTGTTGACCTGGCAGCGGAGGGTGATGGTGTCCCCCGCCCTTACCTCCACCACACTGCCTTCATTCCCCCCCTCCACTTTGAGGCTCGTCGGCGGCACTGTACCACCACCACCACCACACATAAGGGGGAGATAAAACGATATTATATTACAGATACAATTATATTACATAGCTATAATTATATCAGTTATAAGTCATCAGTACAACGTGTAACTCAACAAGTATGAAGCAATTGATGCAGCCGAGTACATTAACTATATATGGGACTGGATTCAAGTATCTTCCACAGAAAACAGTTCAGTGTTTGAGTTAGTCACATTAATCTACGATCTCCAAAAATTGCCACTGCTATGTTATGATCCATCCTTGAACTGTACAGTGTGTGAGCTTGTGGGTAACATGGATTATGTCGCACATCTGGTGCAGACAGACTAGAGAGACCGAGAGTAGTGCACGTTTACCCATGTCATGATGTGAATAAGAAACGATTGAATACACACACACACACACACACATACAGTAGAAGCTGGGAGCACCCCCATCTTCACCTCCTCATGAAACTCGGTAAAACTTCCATGGCTGGGGATTTAGATAGTGCAGTGAGTTTAAGGAGCTGATACTCGAGGATGCGGGGCTCGAATCCCGCCCAGAAACACAAGCGTCTCTAAAAATTTTACGTTTATATACCTACAATATGTCTTACGTGACTGTGAGTGTTGATAAGACGGGAAGTTGACTCACGGAGGACTGTGAGGTTGGCGGCTGCCCAGATGGGGGGGTTGGTGAAGGTGGGGCCCACCTGACACTGGTACTCGCCGTCGTCCTTGATGGTCACACTGCTGATGAACAGGTGGTGCTGCCCCAGCCCGGGGTCACCCAGGTAGGTGAAGCGAGGGTAACCAGGCACCTTTCGCAGGAATCCTGAATACGAGATGGTTAAACAGTGGTTAGGTGGTGCTGGTGAACCTGTGGCACCAAGTCTCCAACCGCGGGAATCTTGTGGTCACCAGGTAGTTTATTGGTGACCTGGTGGTGTTGAAAGTATATTTATTACTCAGATATCTCCCGGGAGTTAGTGATGGTCAGGTAGCGTTGAGGACTCGTCACCTGTCGCAGGAACTTGCAGGTATGCGTATGTACTGTATAAGTGTGTGTGTGTGTGTGTGTAGAGTACTTATCCGATGTAGGCAAATAATCAGTGAGGTAGTGCCAGTACCAAGACTCCCTCATATATGTTTGTGTGTGTCTGTTTGTATGATATAGTTAAACAAACATCTGTAGCACCGATCCTCGCATTACCTCTACACGACACAAACAAATGAACAGAACGTTCCGTACCACTCAATTTGGAAATTGAAACATAAAAAAAACAAATGGGGAAAACTTGGGTCACTGGTTTGGGTTAGTCAGCGGCAGATTTCCCAGGAGGATGCACCAAATTTGCACAGTTGCAATAATTACTTTGTACTAAGTTTATAAGCTTAATTAAGAATGGCGTTACAAGCCCGTAGAGTCCGCTCATTAACCTCTGTGTTCTGTCTACCTGAAGTAATGTTGTATTATTATCTGCGAGACAAAAGAGGCGAAAATGGAATGAGAAATAATATGAAGTGATAATGGAATGAAAAAAATAACAAAGCGATGAAAATGTAATACAGGATATAACAAGAAACGAATATGTAATAAAAATGACTCGAAAGGAAAAAGAATGATTAAAATTGACGGGTAAATAAGATGAGAAAATAACAGCCAAGACCCTAACCCATAACTAGAAAATAAACTGTGATAATAATTCGAGGAAAAACAAAAAGTTGAAAGTTGTTTTCCTGACCAACACACTTATAACTTTTCACTTTGTAACCTAACTCCTCCACCTCATCCTTCTCCTTCTCCTCCTCTTCCTTCTTCCCTCACTTCTCTTCTCATCCTTTCCTCTCTTTTAAGTTTCCTCTTACATTCTTCCTGGATTTTTTTTATATATATTTAATCTTTAATTTTTCATATTTTCTTTTATATTATTTATTTATGTCATTATTTAATTTACCTTCTTAAACATTTATTCATTATCTACTGTTTATAAGTTTCCATATATCTGTCTGCACTGTGTTTTTTAATTATATTTTTATTTATAGCCTTTATCAAGTTTTATTCCGTTTTTATTATATTTTTTGTTTTGTTTTCAGTTCTACTTGTGTACAGTCTTTAATCTAACCTGTCTGTGTGTGTGTGTGTGTGTGTGTGTGTGTGTGTGTGTCTGTGCGTGTGTGTGTGTGTGTTCGTTTCGTGTTCTTATCCGTCTGTTTTGGCTCTCACAGTAATTTCTGAGACGAGAGAGAGAGAGAGAGAGAGAGACTGACCCAGAGCGAAGCCGTCCTTGGTCCACTGTGCTAGCCCCTGCTGGTTCTCCACCACACAAGGCAGCGTCACGTCGTCCCCCTCCCCCACCTCCACACTCCTGGGCACCTCCAAGAACCTCTGGAAACCTCCGACACCACCTGTAGGAGGACACCTTTGTAAATCCAGCACCTCAGGAACCTTGTGTGTGTGTGTGTGTGTGTGTGTGTGTGTGTGTGTGTCAGCAGTAAGAAGTTAATAACAAACGAAGGTTCCTGTTTCTCAAAGGTTCTTAAGGACAAAAAAAAATCGTATCCTCAGAGTTAATTAAAAAAATAAGAATGCACCTAACTGGTTGACTTAAGCTAGAACCTAACAAAATACTCATCAGGACCAGTTATATGAAAAGCTCAGGCATGGATTTGGGGCGTGCTAGACTCCAATAACGTTGAGACTCTTAATACGACACCGATGTTGCTTAACGATATAATGCCCAGACTTTACCTTCTAACAGTACCTCTAGTTAGCTTCGCCTCGGCTTCTGGTAAACCCTTGTAAGTTATACGTCCCCTCACCTTATAAAGTTGTAATATAACATCAGTTACCTCTAATAATACCTAACAATAGTTTGGTTAACTTTAATGTATCAAACAGCTTTGGATGCTCCTCCTTTTGGCCATCAGCAACAGTCTTGTTTACGTGGATAAGTTACTAAGTCGTCTATAAGAAGCCATAATAAAAACTAATCCCTCGTACAACGAACATAAACCACCATATAAATAAGTTCAAAATTCTAATTATCAGATCAGTAGTTTATATAAAATATTTGCGTTATACATGTCTGAACAGAATAACGACTCGCCCTTGACATAACTCTCGCCAGCCACCTTCAGCCTGCACTGTTTACTGAGGGGTGGGGTGACTCGGAGCGTGACGCACTCCAGCACACCAGTAACTGTATCACCGTATTACTGTCATCTTTGTAAGGTCGTCCAACACTGTACACACAACACGTATACTGAACATAAACATTGCACCTTCTGATAATTGTGCCACACTGTATTGATTACTTCATTTAATATACAGACTGTGGACCCGGTAATAAACTGTGGCATAAATTAATATTTAATTATTCATTATGTCGAATACAAGTAATTATTTTGTAAACTGTTTGGGCGGTCCTACAGCATGGCTTAGTGTTGTTGTTTGTTGTGAACGAGTTGACCGCCAGGGTGATGAGCACAGGGCCTCCCATTCCCTGGTCCTCCTCACCTCTGAGTCGACAGTTTATGTGTTTTGGAAATGTATCCAGGACTCTGCGCCCTATATAAACCGCTTGTACATCAACCACCACTACCCTAACCGCTGGAAGGAACTAGCTCGGAATTTAAAACAAAATGCATTATATAATATTTAAATTTCTACCCGTATGAAAGTAACTAAAATAAATATACGTATTAAAATCAGTGGACACAGCCGAAACTATAATTAAACACCCATTACAGTGTTATATTAGGAGTACATGTTTAAATTTAGTAAAGTGTATTGCACGTATCCATCTTACTCACATACAATTCAAGACACACCACAATTTTAGGGTCCCGGCATCAGGTACAGTCTCTCTCCAAAAAACAGTCTCGGTAAGTGTTGTCAAAATCCTTCGTCCGTTGTGTCATATTTTCTTAATATAATTTTGTATAGATTATTTTTTGACTGACTGTACAGCTGTGGTCAAAATCCCTTCGACACTTAGCGTAAAGGGTAATGCGTTATACTATGTGAGGGTGATATAAACGGTACTTTCCATTCTACATAACGCCAGAATAACATGACAAAACACACTGTAACACAACGAAAACTCTTGATAAATTGATGATAAAATACCTCAAGTAGATACCAGATATTGCTAAAAAGTGACGAAGGTTTCCAACAGCTGTACCTAAACGTCTGCTGCTCGTATACTGATGATGTTTTTTTTGGTGTTCCTCTCCTCACGTGGCTATTATTGTAATGTTTATATATACTGTATATCCACATTTACGCTTGTATGGCAATTTCTTAAGATATCGTCGCCATATTGAAATTACAATACTTTACCTGTAGGCTACCTGTAATTTGTATAAACGTCCCCTAGTGATGACGTGTCTTGAGTGTGATGTGACTACTAGACCATACAGGGGTCCAGTGGAGAGGGGGTTGGGGAGAGGGGGGATCATGTTCTCTTCGCCTCCCTGATCCTCCACTAAAACCGGTTCACGACTCTTGCGGCTTAAACCTCTCGGGTGGGAAACACTTGCACGGTTTAGTATTAAAAGCTCTCTTGGATGTCGTGTCAAGTAGCTCGCAGCCATTTCCGCCAGAAAGACACCGTGTTGACAGGAGCGGGATCAGCAGGGTATAGTGTCGAGGGGGAGGGAGGAAGGTCTGTTCTTGTGTTACTGAATATATGATGATGGTGTTAGAGGTGGGTTAGTGGTTGGATTTATCACCACCAGGGGAGGGGGAGAGGCGCGGGCTTCCGATGTAAACAAAGCAAAGGAACAAAAGAGAGATAAAGGAATAATTCAGTTTAAGAAAGAAAGAAAGAAAGAAAGAAAGAAACGAAGAGATAACAGACAATACATAAACATACTCGAGTGAAAATATAGTAAATAATTGCTCTCTCTCTCTCTCTCTCTCTCTCTCTCTCTCTCTCTCTCTCTACCCATTTATACTTCACAGTCCACTTCCCTTTGGTGACTTGTGGCGACTGTGTTTGTAGCATAGTGTACACGACAGCCTCCCAGTAATTTACACCCGATAAACACACAGACAGATAGACAGGCAGGCAGAGGTAAGCAGAGAGACAGACTTTCAGGCAGGTAGATAGATAGATAGATAGATACTTCTTTATTCGGTAAAATTGTCATATAAGTTTACATTGGTTCACAGTGCAGGTATATAATGTACAGTACGGACAATATAATCCCCTGGCTCCCTCCCAACACCTCACCTTAACCGAGTTCCAATTGGTTTTACGGTAAAATCCCACCCAAATTAATGTAACCCAGTTTGATCTGACCTAATCTAACCTAACCTAACTACTATGAGAACGGTTACAAGTAGGATGGGATGTAGTCACTTATGATCACAAAGACATTTAGTCAACATCAGTATATATTATCTAATTGTCTATTAACTCACTATTGTTATACGTGTTACTTCTTTATATTTCTCTCTATTATATTCCGCTTTAAAAACATATAATATTTCTTTGGGTGTAGGGCAAAGGTGGAGGGGCTAGGGAGGGGTGGACAAGATGTAAGTATTAGGGTGGGGGGGGTGTGAGGAAGGAAGGGGGGAGGGGGGGGTGTGTGAGGAGGTGAGGGGTGACAGCTTACTACTCTCCCCTTTAAAGACTCCTTCATCAGTTTTAACACCTCCACTTTCCCTTTAGAAGTATTATACAGTTTCAGACATTGCTACTCTTACTTTAGAAACCTTTTAGAGTTTTTTTTTAATAGTCCATATCTTACTGTTGAGACTTTTCATTGGATCACCTAATGTTCCCTCTCGTCTGACGGCTATAGAAACTCCGCCAGTCGATCGGTCGCCCACCTTCTGCCAACTCAGGTCTCTTTCATGGCACGGACATTAGTACTAACGAGGGTGTCCTACAGGCTGTCGGAGAACTATGTGTTATGTTCTTCCACAGTAAAAGCATCTTCAGTTCCACCTCATTTCGTCTACTCATTAAAACCCGTAAAAAACCTTCATAATCCATTGGGAGATATTTGGCGAAGTGGTAATCACACTCAGATATCCTAACTAGAAGACACATGTTCGATTTCTTCACCGAGAGAAGTTTTGATGAATTTTAACTGTTTATGATGTTGAGGGGTAACTAAAGTCTTCAAAGGCAGATACCCTCCTCTCGTGTTGTCTAGGGTAGGTCACCACCATCACCCTCACGATAGCGTCACCTTGTGGAAGTTACTGTACCTGTGCTTTATATCTGAAGTTGTATTAATTATATGGAGGAATAGAGGAGTTTCACCATTGTAATATCTATAAATACAACTCCAGCAACAGAGAGGAATTACCTGCATGCGGGAGGCAGGCCACCAACAAGAGGGAAGTCAGGTATATTATATTCAGCTTGGGTGAGATACCGGTTGGAGGTGACGTCAGCCAGGATGAGACACAATTTGATGATGAAGTCAGTCTGGATGAAGTCACAGCTGACAATGACGTCAGCCTGGATGACGTCTCAGCTGACACTGACACCATGACACTTCTCTGAGTCGTCTCGAGCACGGTTGTACATATTCCACATCTTCGTGAGCTTTACTATTTAGTCTAATTCTTTGTTGTATGAGAAAAACAGGAATGCAATACCATTTTCCTTCGCTTATAGAGGCTGTACAGGATGAGTAAGAGGGGGGTCACCTTCTCCCTGTCTTCGTTTGAGGGGGGAGACCGTCACGGCACCAGGCCAGCGTCACCTTCACCACCACAACCTCTGCAAAGGAAAAAATATCACCATCAGCCCAGCTTGGTAACCCGCTATTTAACGTTACATAACTCATATAAAAGGACCACGTGAAGATTAAACACCCCAGCTTATTTTACCTGATGATTAAACACACTAACTTCAGGTAACGTTAGGGTGTTTAATTATCAGGTGAAATATGCAGGGGGAGGAGGGGTAATCTTCAGGTGATCTCCCCCAAATACATCCTGAATTCTGTGTGATATCTTTAGTATTTTTTACGTACTGTGATGCCGCTTCTCAGTCATCAGTGTTGGTAAATAAAGAAACGAGAGTTAATTGAACCAAAGCGGAGAGAGAGAGGATCAGGTAGATAATTGGAAGGTTCGTGTGTCAGCCGCAACTACATGGTAATGGTTGTGGTTGACTACAGCTTTTCCACCTGAACACACGCACACACAAGTTCACAAGTGTACAACAGTCATCTCCTGCTTCTAGCTGGTGTAAAAATAAATATATAAACATTTCCTATTAATAATATACATGAATTTACACAATGAATTAATATCAGGGGTAATTTGACTTCCTGAATACAAATAACAGAAAAACAAACACTTGCCACGTAACCAGAGGGAAGGATGTGAATTATAAGTTTTTGTAAATCTTAAAGTGAAGAGAGAATCCTTTCGGTTTTCCCTTCCTGTCAATCGCCCTTTGTAAGGTGGTGAGGACTGTGTGTGTGGGAGGGGAGGGGAGGGGAGGCGACACTGTGACGGTGGTTGAACGTGGCTGGCTCCGGTTACTCCTGGGGACGACCAAGTGACGCTTAGTCTGTGTTCCGGGGCAGGCTGGCATGTTTAATAATAATAGTAATGATAATAATAATAGATACCGTAGTAAAAAAATGATAATAAATAGTAATAGTAACGACAATGGTTTTAATAGATGATATACTACTACAACTACTACTAGCAATAGCTGTTTTTGATCACCATAATAGTTTCTGTGTTGAGGTTAATGCTCTTTATATTATGAACTATACATATGTGTGTGTTTCGGAAGTCGGGGCATAAGGTTCCTGAGGTGGTAGTGTATATAAGTGTTCACGGTGAGGAATTACACAGATTAATAACCGATTTTAACATATCTTTATACTCTGTGATCTCGTCCGGTATTTGGAAGAATTGAAGTGTTTACATCTGTTATCATATTGTAGAATCTAGTCTTAAAGCTTGTACAGATATATAGTTATTTATTCAGAAAATCGTCGTGCATGTTTACAGTTAGTTCAACATGTATATAGACAATGTAGGTGTATAGTTCAGCATGCATATAAACAACGTAGGTATACAATGCGCAATAGACCGTGCAGGTATACAATTTCCGGTATACGTAGATAGTGCGGGTATACAAACAATGGTAAACAGTAAGGCAATTCGACCAGTTGTTATCAATTTAAATAAACAAATAGCGAAGGGGGGAGAGCAGACAAGTATAGTGGCCAAGACTTAATCTAGGAGCGTCCTTTGGTCAATGTTTGAATATATTTGAAGCAGTGCAATATGTTTTGAATTGATGGATATGATATGAAATGGGTGGGGGGGGGGAGACAAGTTTAATTGAGGGAACTATATAAGAACTCATAGGGTCTAATTATTTTGTTTCTTTAGTATTGCATATAGAAGGAAAAAGAATGAAATGAAATGTGATAGTCGAAAGAGTTTGGACAGAAGAGGAGAATGTTCTATGTTGTAACTATTGAGAACATCTGAATTCAATCTGTTTGTTTCTTTTGTATCTATTTATTTTTATTTTGGAGGGTTTAAATTTCAGGTGTCGTCAGATCCAGTTGGGGGTGATGTAGAGTCACACACACACACACACACACACACACACACAGAGTTCCGAGAATGTAAATTGACCGCATGAGAAACGGAGTTGACTGGACCATCAGATGAGTTGAGGAATGACCACTGAAGTTACGATTGAATACATCCAAAGTAGACTAGAATAATTTGCTTTGTTTTGGCCTTTTGTTCAGCAGAGTATCGTAATTATATCTTGTTAATCAGTCACGTACTACAAGCGTCCAGTCCCAGAGTACTGTTTACTATACAAGGTTCCAGAGGCTTAATATTTGGGGTCATTTAAAGATACAGTGGATGGTCAGACTCCTGTTAATTTTAGTTTCAAGTCTTCATTACATATTTTAACCAGGAACAAGGAACACATTTAACTTTAAGTAACAAGATGTAGAAATTAATTATTTTTTGTTGTCGACGCGATACTGCATACATAATACATATAAAATAAACCCAGTAATTTAAATCATCTGTAATTCGTCATATTATTTTCGTAAATTCGAAAACTTAATTAAAATGCCAACTGGTCACGTGAAAATTATCTTATATTACTCAGTATATATTGCAGTAGCTTTGTATCGTTATCAAGATCAGAAAACTTGTACAAATTGGAAGACCAACCGCCCAACTATCAACAACATTCGCACCAAATGTAATAAACAACGCGTCTTTTTTTTTAGTACAGGAATTTCGTATCATTTGGGAGACAGTTAAAATAATACAGGTCATAGAAACTTTATTTAAAATCATAGTGACATCTTTGGGTGGTGAAATCTTTAAGTCCAACTGTCTATGGAGCCGAGAATAAACCTAAAATGTGACGTAATAGCTTGTAAACACAAAGGCCTATAGTGGTGTGCTCATGCTAGGCCCAGGTGCATGAGAAGGTTAGAGGGAGCAGGTAGGTGTAATGTTTTAAAGTTAGTGTTTCGAGTGGAAGTTGAAGTTTACTGTTATGTACGGTGTCAGGTCTCGGTTATGGAGTTGGGATATATTGCGGCATAAAGTTCAAGACAGAACGGCAGTGTTTTGAACATTTTACTCAACGTTATTTTTTTTTTCACTTTAACTCTCGTTCCCACCTCCTCCTCCTCAATCTCTACCTCCTTCTCCACCACAACCTTCACCTCCTCCTCCACTTGGACCTCCTTCACCCCTACCACCACCACCGCCACTTTCACCTCCACCACAACCTTCACCTCCTCCACCACCTCCTCCACCACCACCTCCATCTCACTCGTGTTCAGTTTGGTGCACCTCTTCTTCAACTCTTCATCCTTAACGCAAAAATCCCGCCATTATCCAGGAGAGGTTGTGTGTGTGAAACTTAAAACAACCCATCACGCTTTTTGTCCATACCTTTGGGTAGTGGGCCACACCATTACCAACACCAAGACGCTTTGTATTAACCTTAATTATTCTGTGCTCTGTCATCTTCGTACACATCGACGTCACCAGGGATGTAATTACCACATTCAATCAATTCGTACGCATCGACGAGCTCCTGGATGTGTAGGAAAAAATTGGTTACTATATCTCCTCCCTCCCTTTTTGGAACAGGTAGTGGGGATATTAATGGGTACAGGTAGTGGGGATATTTTAAAGTTAAACGCTGCTAAGTACATCCTAAAGCATATGTCTTGATAGGCTTAAAAGATTCCTCGTGGACACACACACACACACACACACACACACACACGAGCCTATTTATATCGGCCCATAAAAGTGTATACAAAAGCATCGCAGCTGATTTGCATACGAGTTGTGTTGGATATTTCTGAATATTGATAAAAGAAGATTAAGTTTCTAGATACTCACGCAGATGGTTCAGGGTGAAGGTAGTCTTTGCTGGGCTCCGGACTCAAGAACTTCGACGGTGATTTTGTGAGAGAACGACACTGACCCCACTTCGATAATTCCAGCGCGACCTCTGCTTTATGTACCACTGCATTGACCCGTCACCTCATGATCTGCCTTTTTATCAACAAAAACTTCTCTGATGTTATCATTCTTCTGCAATCAGTTTTCTGGCTGTCACTCACTGGCCGAGTATTGTCACTGCCAGCACTACGTTGTTCATACCGCCACCGCTGGACAAGAACTAGTGGTTGAGTTGACGCACCCTGGCTTGTAGGAGCAGCCAGCCCGGCACCGCGCTCACCTGCACCAACTACGGGCGTCTACGGCTGCCACTGAGGTATTGTGTTACTTCAGTAGCAAAATCACGGGACATAACTCTCATTCTTTTATAATACTAATTACAGTTCGCATTCCCATTTATATATATAAAAACACATCAATGACAAGTATAGTTAAGAAAAAGTCAGAATAAGTGGAATGTAATGAAAATGATGAGGGTGAGGTGAGGTTGTACGGTACAGTATTTGGAAATTTACTCAATTTTTCAAAAGCTCTGGTATTATCAGCAAACACCAAGGATATATGTACAGAATGTAAATATGCTCTGTCACGTCAAAAATACCACCTGACATGTTCCAGGAAGCGGAATATGACTTACGAAAGAGATGAATTTTGAAATATGTAAAATACGTCAGAATCTAATACAGTCTTTGATCAGATTTCTAGGAGGAAGCATGACAGCGGGGCGTCCTGGTTAACATTACGTATGGGTGAACGGTGATGAACTTACTCAGAAGTCATTGTCACAGGAGGAGGAGGAGGAGGAGGAGGAAGTGGCGCTACTACAGGACTGGAGAGTTAATTTTCCTTGAGAATTATCTTGTCATGGTACAGGGTGTCTCATAAGTCAAGCACTATAGGGGAAATACATAGGGTTGATATTATTGACATGTGTAACTGAATAAGCACAGGTAGATTTTGTGAGTTTTATTTTATCTTGGTAAAGGTACAGAATTATGTGAATATACCCGTAGTTAATAATGACACTACTACTACTAATAATAATGATAATTGTTTCTGGAATATTTCTGAGATTTGGTTATATTCACCACTTGATCATATTCCATGTACACACGTCAGACACATTCCCCAACTATATATGGCAACACAGGGCTTAAAATTAAAACTAAAATATCTATGTATCGTACACTAGCTGGAGTACTTAACGCTGCCCGGGTTTGTTTATGATGAAGTAAGTTAGCGAGAATGAGTTGAGCCACAACACCACTCCACAGATCATCTCATGACTCTTGCCTTTTTAATGTGTTGATAATGTTGACGTTATAATGTTATTACTGTGCATCAACAACTATAAGGTCTTAATGCCGTTAACAAGGTTAGTAATCACGCTATTCCATCGATAATATAAAAATTGGGAGAGAGACAACTATGGGAAGGACTTCCTCGGGGCCAGCTACAACAACATATCAAATTTAAGTTTCCTCCTTTAATTAAAAACCGTGGCCGTGTGTAGCAAATAAACAGATACATAGATGTTTTTAATGAAGGGTTCAACCGTTGGGGATGGGTGGGGTGGGAGGGGGGCATTGGGACTACTGTATAATCCAAAAATTCCACCTGATTGAAGCATGAGACTCTCAGGACCTTATACGAACAAATGACACCTGTAGTCTGATAGCCGCCATTATAGCAGGTGCCCTCCTAGGAACTTAACAAAATCAGGTTAAGGTTATCTGTCAGTATTGTCTCTCGGGTTAGTTTTCAGTTTATTCAGTTTACGTGTCGTAAGTATACTGTCCAGTGTGCCTATATGTAGTGGAGCTTGTGTGTTGTGGTGACGTGGGACAGTGCAGCAACAACCATGCTTGCTCTGCCTTATAGAATAATGCTGGTCGTCATTTGTCGACTCTCACGCGGTGGGAAAAATGAAATTTTTTTCTGCTTTATTGACTTGTGAAACCCAGGTGTCGTATTTCCTTACCCTGTGTGTGGGGGAGGCGGGGGGGGGGTGATACCGGTTCATAGTAATTTTTTCACCCACTCCATTTACTTTTTTCACTTCTCATGTACAGTACAGTATTTCTTATTTCTTGGGATATTGAATTAAATACAGTAATAATAGTTCCTTATTTGAGTATCTCAATGAAATTTAGACGTATTTGTATATACATTTTATATTGGATATATATATATATATATATATATATATATATATATATATATATATATATATATAGAGTTATAAAAGGAGAGAGAGGAGAGGCTGCCAGTGTGTGGTGTGAGTGGGTGGATCCCACGCTACCAGACGACACACTTGTGGGGCGGGTTCATGCCAGAGTCGGCGGGACAGCCCCAGATGCTGGAGAACTCCTTCATGTTGCTCATAGGTACTAGGACGCGGTACCTGGCGGGGGAGTGGGAGTCGGTGAGCACTTGGTTGAGGAGACCTTCGGTGGTGATGGCGCCGCACCAGATATTGGCGTTGGCGAGGAAGAACAGCTGGAAGGGGGTGTAGTTTGTGAGGCCTGGGAGGCGAGGCTCTTCTCCGCTACGCTCGATGTACTTCTGGTAGGCCAGGAGCGCCTCCCGCAGTCCACCGTTGTCGGCTATGTTCTCACCCTGCCACACCAACACAATTTATTAGTTGATGTTCATTTGTCATCAGTAAGGACGTGGTATATAGAAAACAGATAAACTCTCTTTCGTGGGTTAAAGCGTGGTAGGTGTTAGGGTAGAGGCATAGCAGAGGCATAATAGGTGGCATATAGGGGCATAGTAAAGGTACAATAGGTGGCGTGGTAGAGGCATGGTAGAGGAATAGGTGGAATGGTAGGGGCATAACAAAGGCATTAGCTGACATATATAGGGGCAGAGGTACAGTGTGGTAGAGGTGTGGTGTGAGGGGTGACTCACCTGTGTGTTGACGCCGTTGAGAGTCGTGTTAGGGAGGAGGTCGTCGAGCTCTGGGACGCGGATGTTGTCGTACTGGTCCACGATACACTGGGCCCGAACCTGGAAGGCCGCCAGTGTGTCGTAGCTCCACCACGGGATGGCGTTACCGTCCTTGTCGTTCTGGCGTCCCTCGTCGTCGAACCCATGTGTTAGCTCGTGACCTATTACCTGCAGGAGACGTGACCGGTGAGCCAGCAGTGACCGCAAAAGATGCAGCTATATACTGTACTACGGGATACGCCTCGCGTTTACCTGGTATACAGTATGTAAGATTTGGCAAATGCAGGTGACAGGGAATAATTAACAGGTAACGGTCGTGTTTATGGTGAAAATGACACGCGATATTGTCTCGTGAAAGACCTCCAGATATACAACAGCACAAACTTTACATTACTGTAGTAAAGGTCGCGCAGTTATTCTATTTTTTTAAAGGAAATTAATTTTATTTAAAATAATAATTTCCGTAGTGATGAACATGTAAGAGTGTCACAGGTGGACGAGGGAACGTCTCAGGCATTAAATGTTTGTTTGTGGTCGTGTGGAGTGTGTTGTCTCTTAGTCTTTGAGTCAGTGAGTGATAGCATACCTGTCCAATGCCGCCATAGTTGAGGGCTTGGAGGGAGTTGGCGCGGTAGAAGGGTGGCTGGAAGATGCCCGCCGGTAAGGTGATGGAGTTAAACTCTGGTAGATAGTAGGCGTTGACGATGGTAGGCGGTGAGAGCCACTTGTTCCTCTTGGTGGGGTGCCCGAGGTCTCTTAGCTCCTCCGTGCTCATCCACAACCTGGCATATGAATTAGATCTTCATTACTACCAGGATCTGTCCTACCACCTCTCTCCGATGCTCTGAACTGTACTGAGACGCCGCCACAAGAAGATTCATTGCCGCTACACCACACATTCGTCTCAGCTTCACCACCAAGGAAAAATCACACTCCCACCTAATCAATATCTCTGAACACTACTGGAAGAATCATCCCTGTCTACCTCAGGTGTTATTTAAATAATAGCTACGTTACACGCTATATCCACAGCTACTGCTTATATATTGTGAAAACCTATGATAAATATATTCATTACTCGTTCCCAAGAAAATATAAGTGGTTGTTCTTGACGTTTGATGGAGCAGTGCGTTGTGAAGAGTGTCTCATACGTGTGTGTGTGTGTGTTGCGTCAAAAGTTCAAACTGAAAATAATATATTAATTTCGTGACATAGAGAGAATGGGTAAAATAAGTAATGTGTAGGACAGTAGATAGAGTCAGGTGTTAATGTCAGGTTTAAGTGTGAGGTGAGGTGTTAGTGTCAGGTTTAAGTGTCAAGTGTAATTGTCAGGTGTAAGTGCCAGGTATTACAGTGTCAAGTGACGTACAGCAGCTTCTGTGTGTTGACGAAATGGTTGTCGTCCGCAATGTCCTGGAGGCCTCTGTAGTAGGTGTCCAAGGCGGTGGTGTTGCCGTACCATTCAGGATACGCGATAAACTTACTTACTGTATCCGCTTTCTCCACGGCTTTAGGCTTTGTGTCTTCATCCATCCATTTATTGACAGCCAATAAGTCTTTGAAGGCCGAGCGGATGTCATCCACCATCTCATTAGCTTCATCCTTGGCCTGCTGGGAGAAGTAGGTCTCCACGTACTTAGTGCCTGCAGCCAGGCCCATAAAGTTGTTGGATTTATCGGCACAGACCTTCCAGCGTGGTTCTTGAGCCGTTACGCCCGTGGCTACCATGTCATAATTAAAGGAGACGTCTCGCATGGCGAGGTTGGTCTCGTCACCTAGTGCCTGAACGTGACGCCACATTATATAGTTAGACACAGTACGAGGACTGGTTGTTGCCACCAGAGCTGTCAACTTCTTCAGGTACTCCGGCTCCTGGACAACCACCCTTGTGCTGCCATCAATAGGGATTCCCGTCGAGGCGAACATGGTTGACAGTATCTGTTCCCAGTGTATATCTGACCCTACGTTCAACTCACTAAGCTCTGACACTGTCATAGGATTATACATAAGATTTATGTCTCGTCGGTCTTCAGCGGGAGTAGTTATGTTGGCGAGGGCCATTTCAAAATCAACGACACCAAGTACTTCTGCATCTATGTTGCTAGGATCTTCTCCTAGGGAAGTGGCTATGATTGACGCTGTGGTGTATATGTAGGTCTTGTAGGCGTTGATTCTCTCCTCGTAGTTATGGGGCGTCGTGAGCACTGATCTAGACATGCCCAGGGATGTCTGATCTATATATATCGCGGTTTGGTCAGTGTTTTTCTGATCGGCGAAAACCCACACGTTTACTAGATAGTCCGCACCCAACTGCCTCTTGGCCTCGGCAACAGAGAATTGCCAGTCAAATGAGTTCTCATCCCAGTCTATCAGAGTCATGGGCCAGCCACCAAACTCTGACAAAAAGTTCGTCAAGGGAGTCACGCCAATAGTCTCCAGCAGTTCTTCGTCTACACATGCAGCATAAAAGTTCTTTGACTGATTGATAGGGCCGGGGTCCTGTGGGTTCATGGGCTCGGTGAGGATGCTGCTCAAGGCGTTACTCAGCTCCAGGTCAAGAATGTCGAATTGACTCCATCTTGAAGACTCCTCTGGCACTGGGTGCTTTTCCATCCAGGCGCCACAGGCAAACTGGTAGAAGTCCTGGCAAGGGTCGATGGTTTTGTCCATGGCCTCGATGATGGCAGCGGCAGCCAGGATACATTCTGGTGTGTTGCAGATGTCATACTCGACCCCCTCTTCCGTGCGGGCGTAGTATCTCGGCAGCTGCGTTGACATTTTCAGTGTGGGCGTCAGATTCTTAGCGTTTTGTAAATCTTTACCCGAGTGAACACGTCCATGGTCTCCTGTGTCCTGCGGCGGTACATCCAGTTGGACTTGAGCTGGCGCACACCTGGTGAGGAAATGTGTTAGTGCTGAGAGAATGACTACCTTGACTCACAACAATTAAGTGTATTGATGAACTCTGTGTACATCACAATTTAATAGTCCCACGAGTTTAAATCTGAATTATATGCACCAATGTAAAGCAAAACTATTTTCGTGAAGAAATCAAAGGCTACCAATACTCATGCACCTTATGCCGGTCTGTGTGTCAGGTGGCATCGCTGTTCCCGATCCTCTGACAGCGACTACCCCGATGAGGGCTATGCAGGCAAGAACAGCCACGATAGACACCCCCATCAGCACCTTCTCCAGAGTGGTCCTGCGTAGCCACAGACACCCAGCGCTTCCCCGTGACCCCTCCACCACCACCAGGTCCTCCCGGCTCCTTCTTGACTCCATGGTGGTCCTGACGAGACAACACACCTGGATGGTTGTATTAGAGGGTGAATGATTTGTGATTCTCTGTGATTATATTGTTTTATTCTGTAAGTTCGGTGACATGCGAAGCACGCGAAGCACAGGGACACATACGTAAGCATAGGGGCATGTAACCAATCTCTCTCACACACACACACACACACACACGTAGATAGAGTAATATAACTTAGCTACATTAGAAAGTTGTAGAATGTGTGTATGTGTGTCTGAGAGAGAGAGAGAGAGAGAGAGAGAGAGAGAGAGAGAGAGAGAGAGAGAGACCCTACCCTCATGAATCATTATTTTGCCCTCTTATCGCCTCCTCTATACACTGGAGATCAGGTGATGAGAACTTTTAAAACTTACGTGTAATCACTTACACTGTAAGTGATTCACTATCTTATCGTTCAGGTAATGACTGGTCTTCCGATTACAAGCGGTCTTTGATTACAAATGGTCTTCCCAATTACAAATGGTTAGCTATCAAGCTCAAATTTGCACATTTGTCACATATCTTTATTGGATTTGCATTGGTGTTTTTAAATACGTATACCAGATTAGCGCTGTCTTTAGGTATCTATCTCAGATTTACATTATATTTACGTGTTTATCTCAGATTTACATTATCTTGAAATTCTAGCTTAAATTTGCACCATCTGTAAACATAAATTACTCAGATTTACTTAATGTCAGTATTATGTCGCAGGTGAGCGAGATCGAGGAGTGAGTAGCCGACGTCTTGACAACTGAGGAACCTCCACGCACCTCACCAGGTAAACACTTACGAGTTCTTATCACTTATCACCCGTATAGCGATGATACGACACACCTTGACGTTGAACTTGGAACAGACGACTCATGGCTGTTTAACTGCGACAACAAGAAGAGGGCCACCACACCCTTATGACAAGAGTTAGGTTGGGTGATTATAGCGTCCCTAAGAAAGCTTCTGTAGTGTCTTCCAGATAAAAGAATACGGGGACATGCGAGGAAGCTAGTATTCTAATCTATTAAGGAACTATCGAGTTATACGTGGCCCTGATAGGCTTAGTGAGAGATTAGTTCATTATTGTATATTAGGTACTTTAATGTTATTGGTACAGCAGTAACTGACTTCTCTTTTTACCTTTGGGTCTTCGGGTTCAGTTCCTCGTTGCAATGTGAGAAAGGTGTTCTCCAGTGTGACCCTACCAAACACCGCAGGTTTTCTCCGGGTACTCTGGTTTCCTCCTGGACTAACACTAGAAAATGTAAGTCGTAACAAAACTTAATCCGACCTTTTGAAGCGGCTAGTGTTCTGATAAATGGTGAGTATGATAACTTAGTAATTACAAAGGTGTCTTCCACTACGGTATCGATTCTTAGACGTTGTACCAGTGTCATGTCAGAGGATAAGGGAAGTTACAGTAAATAGGTACAGTAAATAGGTAAGCGGAGAGCGAGGGGACAGTTCGAGTGGACGGAGATATGACATGAGAGAGATAACGACTCTGAAGAGGGAGGTATGCAGCGTGTTCATGACAGAAACATATGTATGCAATTATCTGCCCATGGAGACGTTAAAGTATAGGCCGACATATTTTGGATCTCGTGAAGTCCAGCTTATTTCACCAGATAATTTAATGCTGTAATTTAACGCTAAATGTGTAGGTTAGGTTAGCATTGGGGTGTTTTAATCATCAGGTGATTTAAGCTGGGGTTTCTAATCTTCATGAAAGGTACATTATGGAGGTACAGAATACGCAGTTATACTCGAATCGAAAAAGGAACGTTTGATTGCAGCAAAATATAGACCAGTAATAGTCTTTGAGTAGAGGAAGATGCATACGAAGCTTGTGATAGGCAATGTTTAATTGTTTGGAAATAAACACTAATTTGTGTATTGATAAAATAAGCAGCTGCCAGGAAATGTAAGAACCACGAAACAGTTGTTCATGAAGATTATACAGTACGGGTAAATAGAGATGTATTATAGTTGTAGTAAAATAAAATTATTGGTAAGATGAAAATGCAAAAAAAAAAAATCCAGCTAATATTACAATGCTTTTCCTTACAAAATTATGATGACATGTGATGTGAAAGAAAAGGTAGAATTAGACAAAAGATGGAATCGAATTAATTATATCACACAAAACAAATTAGGTTAATTATAAAAATAATATGAACATATAACTGAGGTAAAAAATAAGGTACAAATTTTTGAAATTAGGTAAGATAAAGATTTGCGCATAAATTTAGATTAGTTGAGTTAGGGGTTGGGCCGTAAAAGAAAACAATATTGTAGGAGATACCAGAGAAAACTCGTAGCGGAAACATCGACATTGTTGTGGGAATATCCTGACGAATATTTGTCGTTCTTCCACATAAGATATATAGCACACATTGTCTACAGCGAAATCTTGTAATATTTTGAAGTTTAAACAGATAATCCTATAATAACAATAAAATACGACCCAAAAGTTACACGTTCATCGAAACATTGCCAGGCTTGATTTAAAACAAACTTATACATGTCAAAGATTAGTAATACTTGAGTTCGACACTGCTCATAGAACTGTATACTGTTCATGCATTCTTTTCTTGAATTGGTAATGGTATCTGTCTATCGTTATAAATGTTATAAATGACGAACGCCCACAAGTCAAAGGTTGCACGATGCTGAAGGGTGTACTCGTACATGATCACTGGTTAGAGTGACACTTACTTAGAAATTGTGTGATGTCCCCACTAACCCTTTACCTTCACGTCAAGCCTTCAATTTGTCGTGCTTACCATAGCTCCAGTAGCCAGCAGTGTGTAGTGATTAACGGCATGAAATCGTCATGCGTACCCGTGACAAGTGGGGTACCACAGAGCAGTGTACTGGGCCCTCTTAGTGTTTGTTTGTTACATACATGACTTGCCAGAAGCTATATAATCCTCCATACATATGTTTGCGGACGATGCCAAGTTATTCAGGGAAATTTCAAACCAAACGGACTATGAATAGCTACAGAAAGATCTCTGTCAGCTTCTCCTGCGACGCGGATCAACTCTCGTGTATTTACTGTGTTGTACACTGTAACTTAGTTACCACCTCTTTGATGGTAATATTCTTTAACTTGAAAGTCAAGGTTATACCACCAACAAGCACAATTTTCATTGTGACTGGTGCCACTGGTGAAAAATGTGTAACTTTTACTTTAATCCTCTTCACCGCTTGGGTGGTTGGTCACATCTCTGTTATGGAGACGTGAAACGTATATAACCTTTTCTTTTTATCAACTGCGAGACAATGGCGTTTTAATTGCACTTGCACTAGATGCCTCGTTTTATCTGTAGTTGAGGAGAATAGATATCACAGTGCATCATCGATAATCCAGATTCAGGCGACTCACCACCACTCACCTAATGCAGGACTTGTGTGTGTGTGGGCCAGGTGACGCCTCAAATACTCCACTCCAGATAAATTTTCTCTTACCAGATCTCACCTTACTACCTCATCTCTCCTCACCAGTTCACCATATCATATATTCCTATTTTTGCCTACAGTGACTCTGATAAACCCTACTTCAGAAGCTCCTCATGGTGGTGCACGGTGCTTTGTTGGCGTTGCAGCCTTACAGATAAGGCATTGAGTGATGTGTGGCAGTAAATGATGTACCCGCCAACCGTGTTATCTGTCGAGTGGTGTAGTGTCAGGCTTGGGGAATTTTTCAAATGGTGTAGACTATCTCAAACGCCGCCCCCCCCCCCCATACGTTCTTGTCTCTAATTGGAAGGAACTCAGATGTTGACAGTAATATGTAATGTAAAGTGTCGAATGTAGTGAAAAAATCTTATGTTTCCTGCATGTGTTAAAGGCTGTGTCTGAAGGGTAATTGGTTTCTTGTCTGGGCGACCTGTGTTACCAAAACGAACGGTAGAGACATCATCAACAACAATAACAATAAAATATAACATTAAAACAACAACACTAACAATTAGGTTAAGGGGGTTTAGTATTGTGGGTTTAGAGCAGGGTTGTGGGTTTACATCCAACAAAATCCAATGAAATGTTAGTAAGATGTATACAGGGGGTGTTTGTGGTACTGTATAGCAGCGGTAACTCGTGAATCTTTCACCTAAATATGTCCAGGGTTCGAGCCCGGACACATGTGAGAATGGTGTTATCCAATGTGTCACCATAGAGCATCACATTCACAGATTTCACGGCCTCCGCTCTCCTTCTGTACCAACACTGTACATACCAACTGGCTGAACGGTTGATAAGTGGTGAAAAGTATAATAAAAATGAAGATGATTACTTTAATAACGACAGCAATAACAAAGTTATTCATGTTAAGTTAAGTTTTCTTTAACAGATGAAAGAACATTTTCCCATAGAGAAAACGATAATTTCATATTTATGGTAAACTATTATTTTATCAAGATACCTTCCGCGGTTTATGTCTTTCTTGGATTTTTATTTGATTTCTCATTTATTACTTCACAATTTATAAGCTTACTAGCTGTTCATACATTAATTGTTCTTGCTACTTTTCTATGACCTATAATGTCCAGTGTTAGTACAAGAAAATATCGGAGTACCCGGAAAGAAAACATGAATAGTTAGGTAAGGTCACACTGGATGACAACTCCCTTCTTGCATCTGTCCAGGGCTGGGGGATTGAACTCAGCTTTATAATCTCAGATAAAAACAAAACCTGACACACACACACACACACACACACACACACACACACACACAGAAAAAGTAAACAGAGGGAACAGTCCTGCGGGCAAGGATTAATTATTCAAGCATCGGTAAAGAGAAAGTCACGTTAGAAAAAGAGTCCGTGTACACACCGGAGGAGGACATAAAGGTCACCTCCACACTCACATCTCCTCACTCTGTTGGTAGTGTTCTTCAAATGGTAAACAACATGGAGAACTTGTTTACTTTATTACAGTATTATCATGAAACTAGTGTAGAACAAAAAAGTGAACAAATTATGATATCATTGGAGGCTGTAGTTTGTGGTGTGATATCATCAATCTGTTAGAAACAGTTTGAATACAGTACACCGAAGACTAAGCCTTCGTTTACAGGAATAGATAAGTAACCACGATAAATTATTGAAGATAGTAACGTACTGAAGTAAGAATGTGTTCCAAGGATATACCAGAAAAATCAGTGTGAACTTTTCTTGTTACATGTGTGTGGGTTTACTACTGGTGTGTGGAGGTGGACACAGCTTGAAATTTTTGTTTGAATAATACATTTACTTAGATCGCTTTATACCACAAACGATACTAATTACGTATTTATTCACTATTGCATGTTAGACCCAGTTGATATTTTTTACTCTCTCTCTCTCTCTCTCTCTCTCTCTCTCTCTCTCTCTCTCTCTCTCTTACTTGTTATGTAATAATAGGTCTTTAAGTGTTCAATAGCTGTTTGACTTCTGGTTGTAATTTGCTGAGTTAGAATTTGTCATCACACATTGTAACATTTGTGGATTACATCAACAATTGCCTCATATACTAATGCATATTTTAGGTATTTGTTAGCGAGCAACGCCTTGATAAAAAACTGTACTGTACTGTACTCTTGATTATGAAGTCTAAGTTTTGTTTATATTGGGTTAAGTTGTAACTTATGAGGCTCTTAGTGAAAAGGTGATCACTTGTTACGTCTTAAGTGTGGCTGAGATCTTGGTTCCAATATTGTCAAGCGAGAAATCAGTCTCCATAACGCTGCTGTTGGGTATAGCTGTAGTCGAGAACAAGAGACTCGATTCTGTTTAAATAGATTCCAATTTAGAGTCAGAAATAGTATTACATTTACACATTTAAACATGAGGTAGAGACGTACAGTATATCTCATGTGTTGATAAGTATAATGCAGATGATGCCTTGCCTTAAGTAGGAGTAACGAATGTACCTTAAAACTACTGGAGACGGAAGGAATCACTGGGCAGACTAAAGTTATCTTCCCGCGCGACTGTGTTAATGTGTGTCCTAGAATACAGCACCGAGTAATGACAGTGTTGTATACGGGCTCCAGCAATATACAGCTAAACTAATCAAACTGAGCCCATTCCCTTGTTTTCCAGCAACATAACTAAAGGGGTTAAGTACTAATCGGCTCAATTGATAAAAGATTTTTCTCATATAAAAGCACAATTTTGTGAATGCAGTAACTAGGCTTACTAGAGTAATCTGTGTAAGTAACGTTAATGTATTTTTTGAGGGGGGGGGGGGACTTCAAAACATAGTTTGCAAATACAGTTTATGTAAGTCACATTACTCAGCCGGAACACTGAGAACGACAATATACCTGGAGAAATACTCGCTAATTATATATCATTTGACTCTAACGTGTGTGAAAGTAAATATAGAGTAATAATTCAGCTCGTGATAACACACCTGTCCTAGTGGAATTGCTCTTCCGTATGCAAATCAGTGTACCTGTAATTGTACCTGTTGTTTGGCACCTGTACTTGTAATGTACGTTTAACCTGGTGCACGTGAATAATATGTGTACGTATGAACTACAGGGTACACAAGATGTACATACGTGTGTCTTGAGTGTGTAAGGAATGGTTGGTAGTTATTTAGTGTGCCAGATACTTCGAGTTAAGAACACTGATGAGTTACACCGAGCTGAAAATAAAGGCAGTGTACATTACATACAAGATGAGGTCAAACTACACGTCCATTGAAAATCACTAAGGTATCACATTAATAGAGAAGTGGAGCCTTAAACCACATACTGCACAGTGGTTTTTATTTTGTTTTAATCCAAACTCTCATGATGTTGTCGAAGTTGGTGATCAGCAACCTGGGACTTGGTCACAATTTTTTTGATGTCTACATGGCAGCAGAGTCTACCATTGGGTTATTACTGATGATAACAACAACAACAACTACTACTACTACAGTTGAACGTTGTCACACGTTCGTCAAATCTACCAAGTTTGGAGCAAATCCGCAAACCCGTTCTTGAGTTATTTTGGGTGCATACAGTAAGAATTAAGACTGAAAACAATACCTCAACCCACAGTTATGGTCAGAGTAATGAAGAAAAAAGAAGAAAACTGAAGAAAAACTAAATATTTAATGAATGTTTTAGACCCACCATAAAAAAGATCACTCCACAAACCTCGACTTACTATTTCTTTGTTTTTCTCTTCCTTTCACACTACACACACACACACAATAAAAAAAATATGCACTGTATAAAATTTCATTGTGCATGTTCTGGCATGATAATGACTGCGCGGTAAAATTTTTAAATGCTGTGGTCAACACTTGTACGGTCTCCTTTGTTTACTAATTGAAGTGCTTAAAACAATGAGCTCGTCGACAATCAAAGAAAATATTGTTAAAATGAAAACGGAAAATCTTAAATGACTGATATTAATATTTTCCTCTTCCCTTTAAGCTTGTTAGGTTAGGTTAGGATAGGGATGGTTAGATTAGAATTGATCGAACTGCGCGTGCCCAGAACATTTTCAGCATGTAATATCGGATCCACATGTATAGTATTTCACTTATTTGTTCATCTATATATTTGTTTATTTATATTTATATTAACTTATATAATTATCAGATGTGTTTTGTTATTTACGTATGTGGCAGTAAAGCGACACGTTTTTGTTTTGAGGTAAATTGAGATTAATGTATCACGTTATTATTTTTACACCAAGTTTTATATCATGTTTCTTAATTGTTGAAAGGCAGTGATATCATTATAATGTCAATAATTTTTAGTTGTTGATTAAATGGTATATAATTAGTGAGTCACGCGCTTAAAGACCTTCCTTAGACGTTCAGAGGCAGTGATAACAGCTTAATGTCTACACCAAGTAAAGCTGTAAAGCGTTAAATGTTATCTAGTGACGGCGACTATTTACATCTGCTCTTGTTGTGGCTGTGGTCGCTACTAGCCATATTCTTCACGTGTTACTAAAGGTCTTCTATAAACTACGCAAGTTGTACTGTGTGTGTGTGTGTGTGTGTGTGTGTGTTTGTGTGTGTGTGATGGAGAGTCTGTCTGTCTGTCTGTCTGGAAGTTCTGAACCATCACCCGTGACACACAGCTTCATCCCAACAGACACGTCATACGCTTAGTCGCTGAATAGTGGAGACGATGTAACGCAGTTTGTAAAAAAAAAAGAAAAAGTAAAAAAAAAAAAGTTGTGTGTATCGCTGTATAGAAAGGGAAAAAAAAACAGGTATTGTTTGCGGTCACATAGGCTTATATTGAGTTTGGATTCGGGGGGAAAAAAAAGAAAAGCGTTTTATCGATGTTGATGGAACTTTTGTTACGAGGTGAAATTTCAAATCCAG